GTGAGCTGAGAGCCTGTTCCATGTCTTTGGTGTGTTTGAGACAGGGTCTCTCTGTAGCCCCAGCTGATCTGTAACTTGCTATGTAGACCAGGTTGGCCTTGAACTCACAGAGATCTACCTGCCTCTGCGCCACCACGCCTGGCCCCTGCTCCATGTCTTTAATGATGGTTCAGCCTCTGGAGTGCAGAAATCACTAAGCTCAGGTGCAAGAGAGCTGCAGATGCCCCATCTTGGCTCTGAAGGTCAGTTCAGTGATGATGGACACAGGACACTCCTTTTTTGGGAGTGTCTTTTTGAGACAGGGTCTCCTTGTAGCCTCAGCTGGCCTGGAACTTGATATGTAGACCAGGCTGGCCTTGATTTCACAGAGATTTGCCTGCCTCTGCCTCGCGAGTGCTGGGATTAAAGGTGTATGCCACCAGGCCCAGCTTGTTTCTGCTTTTTTAAAAATTTTTAAAAATTTTATTATTTTTATTTTATGTGTATGTGTGTATTGTCTGCATGTAGGTAAGTGCACCCATGTCGTGTATTGCCCACAGAGGATAGAAGAGGCTGTTGGATCCCCCGGGACTGGAGTTATGGACAGTTGTTAGCTGCCATGTGGGTGCTGGGATTCGAACCTGGGTCTTCTGCAAGAAAAACTAGTGTTCTTAACCGCTGAGCCATCTCTCCAGCCCCTTGTTTCTACTTTTTTTTTTTTTTTTTTTTGGTCTTTTTTGAGACAGGGTCTCCCTGTAGCCCCAGCTGTCCTGGAACTCACTATGTAGACCAGGCTGGCCTTGAACTCACAGAGATCCTCCTGCCTTTGCCTCCCAAGTGCTGGGATTAAAGGTGTGTGCCACCACACCTGGCATTGTTTCTGCTTTTTAAGGCAGGGTCATGCAGTGTATGACTGGCCTAAACTTGTGATCTTTTTGTTTCTGCCTCTTTTTAAAAAATTTTTTTATTATTTTATTATTTTTATTTTCATGTGCCTGCATGTATATAAGTGCACCCATCTCATTCAGTGCCCACGGAGGTCAGAAGAAGGTGTTGGATCCTCTGGAACTCAAGTTACGAATGTTTATTAGCCATCATGTGGATGCTGGGAATTGAACCCAGGTCCTCTGCAAGAGCAGCCAGTGCTTCTACCTCCTAAATGCTGGATTACAGATGTGTACCACCACGCCCATCCTAGGGTATTTCTTATTACCCATCATGAGAACTTTTACCACCGAGAAGTGGAAAGACTCTTATCTTTCCTTGATTTAATATTTTTTCTACTTGGCACACAGGTAGAGTGTTAAGAAGGACATGGCCCATGTTTGAGGCAGGTTGTCTAGCAGCTGTCTGATCTTGTGGTTGGTATTGATAAACTCCTGGTTGGCATCACTGTCATTGCCTATGAATTTGGGGTTGCTGCTTTACAGGCTCTGAAGACCAGTCACAGAAGTGTCCCTTGTGACCAGGTCTAGACTGTGGAAGAGCTCAGAGACTCAGGTGACACCTTTGGATAAGATAGCCATTAGGGTATGGCGGATACAGGCAGAGTCCTTGGGGTAGGAGAAGATGGCTTCCAGGCTTCTCTTGGTACTATCTTCAGTCTGAAAAAGGATCTGGGTGAAGGAGCTGGCAGTGCTGAGCAGGTAAAAGGCCCTGTTGGTCTCAGCCTTCGTTATTACTGAGAAGGCATGGTAGACCTTCAGGGAGAAATCTAGCAAGGCCTCTCCCAGCATTGCCTCTACTGAATGACTGTTCAGTTTAGAATCAGAATGACAGGCCCTGTGTAGAAGGACTTGGTTGAGAAGTGGATAGGGGCATTTCTGGGGAGGTGGATGGTTGGATGGGCATAGTGGATGAAGGGTTGTGTGGTGGGTTCTTCAGTGGCACAAGCTGTATTTTAGAGGTTGACTTGGTTGTTAAATTGGTTGTTGTCCAGTTGGAAGATTCCAGGATATGTTGAATGGGTAGACTTGAGGATCTGCCCAGCTAAGATACAGCCTTTTGCTTTCTCCCTGCTCACCAGCTCTATTTCCAACCAATAGCAACTGCTGCTATTGGGTCAGTACGATCAACCTAGAGGCCATCTGGGCAGTGAACAAGAGTTCTAATTTCTACACCCTTTCAGTATTTGTTATTTCTATGCTATTTTTTTCTTCTTTTCCTTAATTATTTTTAGTGGTGCTAAGGACAAAACCTAGGGCCTCTCACCTGCTAGCCAAATGCCCTACCACTAAGTTACATCCCCAGCCTTATCTAAGACTTTAAATAAATAAATACACACAAGAGGTGGTAGGCCTTTAATCCCAACACTTAGAAGGCCCATACTGGCCTGGAACTCCAATAGATAGGCCAGGCTGGCTTTGTGTTCACAGAAATCTACCTGCTTCTACCTCCTGAGTATTGGGATTAAAGCTATACACTACCACATCTGGCTCATCTTTTTTATTATTAATTAATTAATTGGAGGGCATGGTATTAGTGTGGTCAGAGGACAACTTGTAGGAGTCAATTCTCTCCTACCATGTGGGTCCTAGGAATTGAGCTCAGATCCTAAGGTTTGGTGGCAAGTGCCTTTACCCCCATCCCTGCATTAAAAACTTTTCAAAGAAGCTTTTTGTTATGGACACATCTAAAAAAAAAAAGAACAGGGGCTGGAGAGATGGCTCAGCAGTTAAGAACACTGGTTGTTCTTGCAGAAGAAGAAGACCTGGGTTCAAATTCTAGCACCCATGTGGCAGCTAACAACTGTCTGTAACTCCAGTCCCAGGGGATCCGACAGCCTCTACTGACCTCTGTGGGCATTGCACAACATGGGTTCACTTACCTACATGCAGGGAATACACGCATACACATAAAATAAAAATAATAAATAAAATTTTAAAAAAATAGAACAAATAGTTGAAAAGGTAGGTAGATATGGCTGTCACCTAGCTTGAAGAGTTAGGACACTTGGCCAATCTTGCTTCAGTAATTGTAGATGTGTCCTGTCCTTCTGTGCCCCCTCGCCCTAACCCCCGTTTTTGCAGTGTGCATTCCAGTCATGTACAGTCATGCTCCACCTAATGATGTTTAGGTCAGCCATGAATGCATATAGAAGAGAAGTACAATAAGATTACATCACTCAGTGACATTGTAGCAATCCTAGTTTGTGTAGGTATATTCTGTGACTGTCACCTAAGAAGTCACCTACCAGTGCACTTCTCAGATTTCAAGTGATTTGGGTCTTTTCATTTCATTCTTTTTTTTTTTTTTTTTTTTTTTGCCTTTTGTTGTTGTTTCTTTAAGATAGGAACTCTCCATATAGCCCAGGTTGGCCTTGAACTTGTGATCCTCCTCAGCCTCACTGTTGATAGAATTACAAGGAAATGCCACCATGCTCAGCTCACCTATATCTTTGTGTTCTATCCTTATTAACCTGATGGTATAAGAAGCAAAGGATTAACTAATGACTTAAAGATGACAATGAATAAGAGCCCTTCTTTAGCATTAATACTCTGTTGCCGGATGTGATGGCGCACGCCTTTAATATCAGCACTTGGAAGGCAGAGGCAGGTGGATCTCTGTGAGTTTGAGGTCAGCCTACATATGGTCTACATAGGGAGTTCCAGGCCAGCTGGGGCTACAGGGAGACCCTGTCTCAAAAACAAAAACGAAAAATCCCAACAACAAAAATCTATTAATACTGTGTTTTTTCCTGATATTTCTGGCATTTGCGTATACTATAAATAGTATGACAGGCCCTTCTGTTTGTAGTGAAGTGAGTGAAATGGGCCTACTTCTGGGGTTACCTTCTGTTGGAGTTACATTTATGTATTTTGCTTTTTTATACTTGCTGTCTTCAAGGTCTCTAAGGTATACTTAGAGGCAGATCCCAGAATAAAAGTTTATGTAGCTCTTTGAGTCACTGGTAGGATACTAGTGGTAGTGAGTGATAGTAATTGAGATAATAATGTAGAGACCCTCTCCTCGAGCTTGTAGAGTGCCAGGCAAACAATGAAGTGCATTTTACACACACTAATTCATTTAATCCTCCTAGCAGCCCTGAGTTAGGTATTACTATCAGCCAGGAATTGATCTGAGGAAGTGTGGCGCCAGGGCTTTCCTCATACCCTTACACTGTCCTCTACTTACTTGACACTCATATAAATAAAGGGAGATGTGAGATAAAAAATGCTTTTAACATCTTTGTGGGCTTTGTGGAACTTATTATTTTTTCATTCAGTGCTCCTTGTAGAATCAGTGATTACAGAGAGAACATTTAATCTCAAAACATTCATTCCTATTTTCAAACTAGTATTTTCAAATCTGTTCTCCATCTGAGACCTTGCATTTAGACAAAGCACTCTTGAACTTTTTAGTTGAATTGGTAGATCAAGAGCTTACAGACAGGATATTGTCTTTAAGTATTTAGACTGTAAGTGCTGACCCCCGAAGCAGTAATTTGGATAGATCAGAATGTTTCCACTAGAGTGTAGTGGTATTAGGGATTCTGACTTCAAAGTGTGTATGTGTGTGTTTTATAGGTATCTTTGTAGATAGGCCACTTCTTCATAAAAATGGAACCAATCTTACATGAATCCTAAAAACCTTTTAGAGCCCTTTAAATCCAAGATCTAAGCCGTTTGGAGTTAAATTAGGAATAATGCAAAACGTTACCTTTCTGGAGGTTTGTACTAAGTAGACTAAATAAAACAACCTGCTCATTTTAAAATGCTTAGGGTTTAGATCTAGAGAACCTTCTTTTAATCTTGCAAAATTAACTCTTACTTGGGCATGGATTTACATACCTTTCTTAATCTTTAAGTCAAGCTAATAACTGCTGTTTGATAAGGAAGCCAGTGCTCTGTTTTCCTTTTTCTGTGACTTAGCTTCTGTGGCTCAGGCTATGCTCTGAGACAAGGGTAGACCTGACTTTGGGTCAGCCAAGTATTTGTCTAGAGGGAGGCATAGATCATTTCTACTCAAATGTGCATTTTATGGTGAGATAACTTTCTTCACATTCATTTTCTTTCTCACAGGTCTATGAAGGACTAGACATCATTACCAATAAGGTTTCTGCTGAAGAGCAAAAGATGTGCCAGCATCACATGATCAGCTTTGTGGATCCTCTTGTGACCAGCTATACTGTAGTGGACTTCAGGAACAAAGCAGCTGCTCTGATATCCTTAAGGAAAGATGGCACCTAGGCTTGGTGGGTTTCTGGTGGCAGTTTCTTCTAAGCAAGGACTCTTAACTGCTAGTAGGTTAACATCACCCTCAGCTCAGTTTGTATGGGCAGAAAGATTCAGTGCCCTTGCTTCTCAAAGGCAGTCCTTAGACCATAGCATCAGCTTCCTCTCAGAATGGGTTAGGGATGCTCAATCTTGGGTCCCACCCCAGACCTACTGAGTTAAAAATCTGTATTGTAGCAGGAGGTCCATGTGATTTATTATTATTGTGTATTCACATGTGCCATGGCTACACGTGCAGTCAGAGGACAGCTTTGTCTCCCATCTTGAAGGAGGAGTGCTAGGAATAGCATCTGACTTTTTACATGGGTCCTGGGGATTGAACTCAGGTCATCAGGCTTGCTGTGTGAGTACTTTTATGTGCTGAGCCATTTTGCCATCAAACATACGATTTTTTTTTTAGTTTTGTTTTGTTTTTGTCTTTTTGAAGCAGGGTCTCCCTGTAGCCCCAGCTGTCCTGGAACTTACTATGTAGATCAGGCTGGCCTTGAATTCACAGAGATCTGCCTGCCTCTGCCTCCCAAGTGCTGGGACTACAAGCGTGCGCCACCGTGCCCGGCTATTTGTTTTGTTTTTTTGATACAGGGTCTCCTTGTAGCCCCAGCTGGCCTGGAACTCAATATGTAGACTAGGTTGGCTTTGATCTCACAGAGATCAACCTGTCTCTGCTTCCAGAGTGCTGGGACTAAAGGCATGTGCCACCATGCCCCATTCCCACATATGATTCTTAAGCACATTTGGGAAAAACTTTATTGACAAGGACACTGAAATCAGAAATCTATGTTCTAGTTCTAAAACTGCCTTTTTTGACTCTGTAGATTTTACCCGGTAAAGCATTTCATCCCATTGAACTTCAGTTTCCTGCCATGTAAGTGGGGTATGAAATTATAAATGTGTAGTGATAATGAAGCCACTGTTAAAAGGTCAAAGGGATTGTTAGGTAGTGAAGGATTGAGAAATATGGTTCTAGATAAGTCTTAAGAAAATTACTGGATGAAGGGGTGCACACTGTAATTTTAGCTCTGGGGATGCTGAGACAGGAGGCGCATTATTATTCATAGTCACCCTGGGATACATGGTGAGACCTATCTAAAAAACTAAAGCAAACAAAAAAAGGAAAATAGTATGGGGGGGCACTACTCTATATGTTAAAA